GCTTGAGCCCAGGAGTCTGAGGTTGCTGTGAGCTAGGCTGACGCCACGGCACTCTAGCCCGGGCAACAGAGTGAGACTCTGTCTCCTAAAAAAAAAAAAAAGAGATCACATCTTTCAAATTAGAGTTGAAGCCTGAGAGCCCACTGACGAGAAGGACGTGGGCACCGTGTCCACTCGTGGGAGGGCTGCTTTGGATGAAGGTGCTGCTTCCTTCTAGCGACCCTCCCCACAAGCAGCCTGCCCGGCTGCCTGCTGAGTGTGTGACTGCCCCGAGCATGACTCACGCAAGGACCGACTGGTGTCTTGACATTTTATTAAAACACCTCTCAACAAGACTGCTTTACTTCCAAAGCCCTGTGGGATGTGGAGATTTATCATTTACTGCCCTCAGGTTCCCAGTCTGTGGAGCACTTAGTCACTCTGGATTTTTCACAGGGGTTCAATTTTCCCAAGAGAAATCTGACACATTGGATTTGTCAAACACTTTACACATTAAAATGGGTTCTCTGTAACTTAACCACCAGCAGATCCACAAATTAGACTAAATGCCCAACTCTCAACAGCCAATAGGCCCCACGTCAACAAAACCTGCGCACGCGGTGCGTGTGGAGATGCTGAACGCCTATCGGTGTAGGACCCCATCTGGACGCCCAGCTGGCATGGCACAGGCTGGGCCGAGGCTGTGGTCAGGCAGGGGCTGGCAGCTCTGGGCCCACCAGTGCCATTTTCATACACGGGCTCCACTGCCTCCCTAGATGAGGCCAGACCAGGCACAGGCACATGGCCATTGCTAAAAACGTTTTTGAGGACTTTCTCGAAGTTAACAACCTGTTGCTCTGGAAGTTGAGCGTGCTTGCCCTCATGCTCCCAGTCTTTGTTGTACCCTTAAGAGCAACTTAAAAGAGATTAAACAAAGGCAGACCTCACCAGTTTAGTTATTAATCTCTTTAGCTATTAAGTAAAACTTAATCAGGCAGAGTCAATCAATGATTTCCTAGGATTATATTGTACCCGTCTGATTGAATCAGGATGGATTAACTCCTGGGTGATGAGATTTATTTTTAGCCAGGGCAGATGTAAAAATTAAGCCTAGAATAGAAAGTATTTGTACTACAATTCAAATGATTTGAATTTCACTGCAGAAGTAAAGCCCTATTATTATCCTGGGCATTTACCTGGCCACACAAACAAACAAGAGCGTCTAAGTCCTCTCCATGCCCCACTGTCCGATTGGGCATGGCTCTTGTCCTCCCTGGGCAAAGCCCTGACGCTTGCTCTGCTTTATGTTCACTGTGGGGGACATCACTAAAAACAAATTGGCTGGTGCAAAATCTGCTTTTACCCTAAACGTAATCAACCGGTTTCCCTTCACAGAATATACTGGGGATAGAGGAACAATGCAGAAGACACCACGAAGAAAAAAATCTGATAAAACCTGAAGGGGGGCACTCTACAACATGACATTCCAAAGTTTTTAAGAGTCAAATGCCTTGGAAAAAAGTGAAATGGGGTAAAAGGAGGTACCGTTTTAGATCAAAGAGCTGAGACATGGGAAAATGATAAAACCATGAAATGATAAACCATGAAAATGACAAAACCATGAAAAATCATTGGTGAACAAGGACTGAGTGACGGTCACATTGTCAGATGTTACAAGAGCTGTGGGCAAAAAAGACATACGCCTGTAATCCCAGCACTCTGGGAGGCCGAGGTGGGAAGATCGTTTGACCTCAGGAGTTCGAGACCAGCCTGAGCAAGAGTGAGACCCCGTCTCTACTAAAAA